CGGGTAGGGAAGATACTGATGAAAACGATGATGATCTCTCAAAAGAACTGGGCAACTAGCCCGGCTAGCTCAGTCGGTAGAGCCTGAGACTCTTAATCTCAGGGTCGTGGGTTCGAGCCCCACGTTGGGCGATTTGGTTTCCTTTCTGTGTCTCTTTTCAGGAACTTTTATTTAGGTTCATCCTTCAGACCTTTTAACTGCAAAGTTCAGCGTTTCTACCACTGTAGGACACTTTTTCTCCAAGTCTCTGAGTTTCTCCAAGTTTCTCCTCATCACCTGAAAACAGTGATGATCTCTCAAAATAACTGGGCAACTAGCCCGGCTAGCTCGGTCGGTAGAGCATGAGACTCTTAATCTCAGGGTCGTGGGTTCAAGCCGCACGTTGGGCGATTTGGCTTCCTTTCTTTCTCTCTTTTCAGGAACTTTTATTTAGGTTTATTCGCCAGACCATTAAGGGCAAAGTTTAGCGTTTCTACCACTGTAGGACACTTTTTCTCCAAGTCTCTGTGGCGCAATCGGCTGTTAACCGAAAGGTTGGTGGTTCGAGCCCACCCAGGGACGAACAAAGCTTTTGGCTGCCTTAAAACTGCTAACACATGCACTGGGCAGAGATAATGCACCACGTTCTGTTCAGCATAACAAGATGATGTCATGACTTAGCACAATGTTCCACGGGTAGGTACTGATGAAAACGGTGACGATCTCTCAAAATAACTGGGCAACTAGCCCGGCTAGCTCAGTCGGTAGAGCATGAGACTCTTAATCTCAGGGTCGTGGGTTCGAGCCCCACGTTGGGCGATTTGGTTTCCTTTCTGTCTCTCTTTTCAGGAACTTTTATTTAGGTTCATCCGCCAGACCTTTTAAGGGCAAAGTTCCGCGTTTCTACCACTGTAGGACAGTTTCTCCAAGTCTCTGTGGTGCAATCGGTTAGTGTGTTCGGCTGTTAACTGAAAGGTTGGTGGTTTAAGCCCACCCAGGGAAGAACTAAGCTTTTCGCTGACTTGAAACTGCTAACACATGCACTGGGCATAGATCCTGGGCCACTTTCTGTTACCTTTCTGTTTCTCTTCAGCAGCTTTCATTTGGGTTCATCAGGCAGAGGTTTTGAGGACAAAGTTCAGTGTTTCTTCCACTAGCCTTTCTCTAAGTCTAAAGTTCAGCGTTTCTACCACTGTATGTAGTTTTTTCTCTTAGTCTCTGTGGTGCAATCGGTTAGCGCGTCCTGCTGTTGAAACTGCTTACACATGGACTGGGCATAGACCCTTGGCCATGTTCTGCCCAGCGTAACAAGATGATGTCAGGACTTAGCAGAATCTTTTCACGAGTAGGGAAGGCTAGCTCAGTTGATAGAGCATGAGACTCTTAATTTCAGAATTGTGGGATTGAGCTCCATGTTGTGCGTTTCTGTTTCCTCTTTCACTCTTATCAGGAGCTTTCATTTGGGTTCATCCAGCAGACCTTTTAAGGAAAAAGTTCAGCATTTCCACTACTCTAGCCTCTCTATGTCTCTGTGGCGCAATCGGTTAGCGCGTCCGGCTGTTAACTGAATGGTTGGTGGTACAAACCCACCCAGGAATGAACTAAGCTTTTCGCTGCCTTGAAACTGCTAATACATACACTGGGCAAAGATCCTGGAAAGTTCAGGGTTTCTACCACTGTAAGCAGGCTTTCTCTTAATCTTTGTGGTGCAATCGGTAAGCGTGTCCAGTTGTTAAAAGAAAGTTTGTGGTTCGAGCCCACCCAGGGTAAAACAAAGCATTACATTTGATCAATGTGTTACATCTGTTCTTTGCTACTTGCCGACTGTTTGTAAATTCAAGACTGCATTTCCTATATTTACAGTGTTAAAATCGCTATTGAAAACAGAAGTCTAATATCATCAACAATTAACATTTTGTTTAATCTTTTCATTACCTTTGTCAATTTGGGCATCAACTTCTGACGAATGCGGGGAACAGATGCGCGCAACACCTTCACAGAGAGAGCGAGCGATTGCGCGTGATGCCTAAAGCACGTGGGAGAGGCTCTGCCTTTGAGCTCTCAAAAAAGTCATTAAGTTTGACATGCTTCCCCCTTACACGCAACTTTTGTAAAGACAGTTGCTGTGTAAGAATCCTTGCTTGTAAAATATGCTTTAAAATGCTTAGTTTAAGCAAATTGGATGAACGTGTTCACGTGTGCAGATCTGAAGAGTGTCACTCTCGCTCACCGAAAACCACCGGAAAACCAGGCTGAATGCGCTGCACTGTGCGTGTTGCGTGCGTCTGTTCCCTAGCGACAATAACAAACGCCTGATATCGCCTGTTCGTGTTCCTCAAAGTTGTTTAGAATTAAATGTTTAGTAATACGCCTGATATCGCCTGTCCGTGTTCCTCAAAGTTGTTTAGAATTAAATGTTTAGTAATACGCCTGATATCGCCTGTCCGTGTTCCTCAAAGTTGTTTAGAATTAAATGTTTAGTGATGCTGTGACAACGCCTATGTGTGCCTTTTTTCATGCACCCCTTTGATGCTTTCTTTTATGTACTTGCCGCAGCACCGAAATTAGGCACCGAAATTCATACGCTGATTTAATACCAGTACATACCAGTTACCAAGGTACCTGTGCTATAATGGCATCGGGTTTCAGTACCCAACCCTAGTTTCAGGCATGTGAAATGCTTTTAAAAATGCTGAAAGTTGTCACACATCTAAATAAATGACCAGTTTAAATGCTGTCCTTCATCATTTGTTCCATTCTTTTATCCATAGTTGATCAAAAATGTAGATTAATGTCTTTAATTAAAAACTTGCCATACAATCTAGCATGCAGTGAGATTCAGGAACACAATTTTTTTTCTTTAGAAACTGAAAGTTACACATTTAAATATGTGCTGTACTTCATAATTTGCTCAATTATAATAATCCAAATTAGTGTCTTTAATAAAGAATTTAGCATACAATGTAGCTGTAATAAAGTCCGTTGTGTGGGAAGAAGGAGGCGGAGAACCAACACAGTTTTTAAACTATTTATTAATAACAGTGACGGCAGCTCCTCAAGGAGACTGCCGTCTAAACCAAAACAAACGGACAGCAGCTCCTCACTGAGATTGCCGTCAAACTGAAAGCAAAAATAAAATATCTCTGGGCCCAGTTCTCTCTCGACTTCCTCTGCCATCGTTCCTCCTCTTATAGTCCAGAGCTCCTTCCTTGGGATTCGAGACCGGTGCGCACTACAGGTGCATCCACTTACACGCGGCCTCATTCCGTTCCCATGGCTCTTGGCCACGCCCTCTCGCCACAGTAGCATACAAGTGAGATTCAGGGACACTAAACATACTAAAAGTGCTCACCTATCTTAAAACATCCCCAGTTTAAATGCTGTTCTACACTAATTATTACATTTTTTAACCCTGATTGCTAAAAATGTACATTTAATGTCTTTTAATTACATCCTGCTTTGATTTTTGCATTCTAGCACAACATTAACTGAAACAAATTTTTGGTTTGTAATCTTTGTGTACACACACATCTATAAATGCCATGTCTAAAAGTTGTAGGTTTTACACATAGCTGTAGTGGTGTTTTGTTGAACATGTTAACTAGGCCATTTCCATGCATTTTGGACCTACCATTTAGCCAAGCCAGAATACAAGTGGTTTGCACTGAAATACTACACACAAACGTCACCCAGTTGTTAAGTGAAGACACCCTTCTTGTATCATGACGTCTAAGGCCCCGTTTACACTAATGCGTTTTAGTTTAAAAACGCATACGTTTTGCTTTGGTTACGCCATCCGTCCACACTACGCCGGAGTTCTCGAGCGCCGAAAACGGAGCGTTTCGAAAACGCTGGAGAGGCCGTTTTCATTCTGAAATGCTGCTGCTCCGTCTCAGTGTTGATGATGGAAAACGGAGACATCTGAAAACGGAGGCGGGGCTGCAGACTTTTGCCTCTCTGATTGGGGCTTTTCCTCAATATTAAGTAGCCTAACACACACAGTTCAGTCCTGAATCTTCTCTGTGTAAGTTCAGACTTCGCAAGTTTGATCAAGGCTGCAGTTTCTTCTTCTCAGTTTGATATGGAAAACAGACTATACCGAGAACACGCGCCAATCTTCAAAGGGAACAGTGTACTTTATAACTTAATTCACATCACCCTCGCTACGTTGTTTCACTTTTTCAACAATAAAATGTAAACATGATTTAAGGAACTGCCTATTTTCATTTTAATATTAACAACTAAACAGACAGCAGAAATGTTGAGGCGTCGTTCAGCATAATAAGCATCATCTTCACTGTGTGGATATTTATAACAAAACGGAGCCGATAACAACCGTCTCCTTTCAATTTCAGTGAAAATACGAAACATACCCTCTCTTTTGCTGAATATCAGTTTTAATAATCGATAATGGCCATTATAAAAGTATAACATACAATAAGTTTATACATTATAGGAAATAAAGGCAAGCGATAAGTCAATATACAGAATGTACGTGCTTACATTAATCATTAACTTATCTTTGCGCTCAGCCAAAACACGTTACCTGAGAACAAGTAATAGATTCCAATGACCAAAGTCAGGGAATATGTCGTTAGATAAAGACAACAAGATGAATGAAATATCGTGTTTAATAAATATAAAGAGATTAGATCTAGCGGGAGATGCTTGATGAGAAGTCCGACTAGCAGAGCTCTCATCTGGGTAGATGGGCTGCAGCGCTTGCCAAAGAGTGTGTGTGTGGTCACGTGATGTGCGTTTTCAGCGTTTTGGTGTGGACAGAGAGCAGTTCAGAAACGCTGGGTAAAACGCGAGTGTGGACGCGAATCGTTTTCATTCTAAAACGCCGTTTTAAAACTAAAACACACTAGTGTAAACGGGGCCTAAGACCAGTGTCCTTGGTAAAGCTATAGTTAGCATCTCCAGCAGCTTTGTAAACTCTTCTCACTTGCCTACAGAAGAAAAGTGTGTTAAAATGAACCTCCCCTGTTATTTTTGGCACTTTTCTCTTTTTTTGACAGATTCTCCTGTTGTGAGCATGGAGACCGTCCTGATCCAAGAAGGAGGAGAAGACTTTCAGGAGGTCATCTGTAGAGCGACAGATGGCAGACCACATCCTAATATCACTTGGAAACTTCCTGAATTTAGAAACACGTTGCTTTTACAGAGAGACATCTCAGAATCAGACTCGGTTGTCAGTTCATATCGGTTTCCATCAGATTCTTATGAAGGAGAAAATGTGTCTTGCATTTTTGGCTACATGTTTTTCCCTTTCACAAGCACTAGGACAATCACCTTGCCTATATACTGTAAGTCAACCAAAAGTATCTATATGGATCAATTGCACACATGTAGTGGCAATATTTTAAACTGTTCCTAATTGGTTTATTTATCATCTAGATCTGTCCTATATTCAACTGAAGGACTTCGATCATGCTGTTAATAGTGAGAATCAGACGGTATTGGTATTTCAGGAGGGGGACTTCGACATTTCAGTTGGAATGGATGTTAGAGGCAACGTACCAAGTTATAAAATGATCTGTTCAAGGTTAGTTGTATAATATCATATCCTGCAAGTCATAAGTATGTCATGAACATAACTGTCAACTCTCCTGTTTTTCCAATGATTCAAGCTTTACCATTTTATCTCAATGTCATCCAATTAAATAATGTTCACTACATTTATTCTGTATTTCTAATCTATAGCTATGTTCCATCCAAAGATGCTAATTAAGTTTTGGCACAAAAATGGAATACTGCATAAAAGATATGCAAATAAAGTAGTCTCCATCTAAGAAGACAAAGAGAACAAAATCGTCACTTCCTGAATAACTGGCTCCAAATATCAGAAATAAAAGCATAATTTGCTGCGGCAGAGAAGCTGCGGGAATTTTTCTTTATTTAACAAATGCCTTGTACCTCAGAAGACAATGCCGACGTGAACACGTAGTGGTGTTTGAAGGCTTTAGATGCGGAGCACAGACGCTCTTGACAGTTCTGGAGGTAATTAATAATATAATATCATTAATAAGGCGAGGCAGTGGCGCAGTAGGTAGTGCTGTCGTCTCACAGCGAACCTTGGCTAAGTTGGCATTTCTGCGTGGAGTTTGCGTATTCTCCCTACGCGTGGTACAGGTGAATTGGGTAGGCTAAATTGTCCAGAGATGGGTTGCAGCTGGAAGGGCATCCACTGCGTAAAAAACTTGCTGGATAAGTTTTGGGTTCATTCCGCTGTGGCGACCTTGGGGAAAATGAATGAATGAATGAATGAATGAATGAATATTACTAATACTGAAAGGGTTAAGGCAGTTTAGAATGACCAAACCAACATTTCCCATGTTCTGCTCAGTCTGTTGGTTTTATCTATCTACACACATTTTATCATCACATGACCTTTTGTAACAAAATCTCATTTAATTTTTAACGACTTTTAATGCACATACTGGAATTTTGTTTGGTAAGTGTTTCCATCGTAGTTTTTGCACATCTTTATATTGAATAAAAAGTTTATCCTACTCTGTTATGCGCATTTTCTAAACTTCTATACTTCTTGGCAATTTTGTCAACCAATTTTTTATGCGCATATCAAAATGTGCATAAAAATAGATGAATGGAAACGTAGCTTATGAAAGGTGGCATTAAGTCTGGTTAATACTTCTGCATTGAGTGATCGGCGTGACCCACGGCGCATGCCTTGCGCATTGTCGTGCATTTATACTTCTGGGCGCTGTTTCTGTTGCTTTGCAATAACACTTCCAAAATGCTAGCTTGCAGCGGGTTTTATTATATTCCTGTGTCGAGTTTACGCTGGTGTTATTTTTTTTCCTGAATGCTACCTTATTATAGAAGTAACTCAAACTCAAACTTGAGGCGGGAACCGAGGGACGTGCAACAACTTTAATCATGAAGTAAACACAAAACAAAACATCTTCACAAGACTCGATGCTCACTTCCAACGGGTTCACGCAGCTCTTGGTCCTGCCCACACTCGTCAGTGAAACCAAACCGACCAATCACAGAGCTTGCGCTATGCGTTGTTGCGATGTGTAGTTACATTTTTCAAGAGGTGCGCATCAGCGTTGGCGAGGGCTATGCTTCCACTCATCACACATTGGCGATCCTCATTACACACATAGTACCGTCGAATAACCAGGAGGCACACATTGCTCTAAATGTAATATAATTAGCCATACAACCTGTTATATAACCTCAGAATCTGTCAATTTATGTAATAGATGCATTTCCCCAAGCTGCTTTCGTTAAACAGACAAACGCACGTAATAGCATTAAAACATGTCCACCTTGTCATTTAATCTTAAACAGAGCTTATATTAAATGAGCATAACCAGTTAGAAAAGTAGGGGTGGCACGATGGCTCAGTGGTTAGAACTATAACCTCACAGCAAGAAGGTTGCTGGTCTAAGTCCCAGCTGGACCAGTCACCATTTCTGTGTGGAGTTTTGCTGTTCTCCCAGTGTTCACGTGACTTTGCTCTGGGTGCTTTGGTTTCCCCCACAAGTCCAAAGACATGCGATATAGGTGAATTGGGTAAACAAAATTGTCCGTAGTGTACGAGTGTGTGTGAATATGAGAGTATATATGTGTTTCCCAGTACTGGGTTGTGGCTGGAATGGCATCCGCTGTGTAAATCATATGCTGGAATAGGAACAGGGCTGGACTGGAGCAAAAAATTGGTCCTGGCATTTTGGACCAAAGCGACCCACTACATTCAATCAAAATGCTATCTATCTGTGCATGTTATATATATATATATATATATATAATAAATACAAACATTAATCTCAATTTAATTGTTGTATACTTTCCATAAAGATTTTATACACTTCTAAAAAGTACACTTGATTCATTTATTTTCCTTCGCTTTAGTCCCTCATTTATCAGGTTTGCCACAGCGGAATGAACTGCCAACAATTCCAGCATTTGTTTTATGCAGCAGATGCCCCTCCAGCCACAACCCAGTATTGGAAAACAGACATACACACTTATTCACACACACACACACACACACACACACAAACACACACACACACACACACACACACACACACACACACACACACACACACACACACACACACACACACACATACACACACACACACACTCATACACTACATCCAAATTAGCTTATTCAATACACTATTCACTCAGCCTATATTAAATAATAAACATAACAAAAACTCATACTCACAGAGAAAACTCACAGAGAACAGTGTACTTTATAACCTCATTGAACTCATCCTGCTTGCTGTTTCATTATCTTAACAATGAAAACATAATATAAGGAAATTAGTTTAATTTTGATATTATGATTAACAGACACCAAACATCCTCATGTAGCTTTATATTTATATGACCGTCATCTGCACTCTGCATATTTATAACAAAACAGTGCCTATAAAATAACTGCCTCCTTTTACTTTCATTGAAAAGATTGAACTTTACCCTGTCTCTTTTGCTGAACATCAGTTTTAATAATCAATAATGGCCATTATAAAAGTATAACGTACAATAAATTTGTACAAAAAAGGTAAGCAATCAATCAATGTGCAGAATCAGTGTACATGGTTACATATATTAATATATTAGCTTATCTTTGCACTCAGTCTAAACAGAGTTACCTGAGAACAAGTGATTCAAAAGACAGAAGAGTCGTTAGATAGAGACAACAAGATAAATTCAATATTACATTTAACAAGTATAGTGAGATGAGATCCAGCAGTAGATCTTTGTAAACTGTCCGACATGCACTATACTCTCACCTAGGGTTTATGCTCAAAGCACCAGCTGAACTACTGGCTGCAACTCTTGGCAGAGGCAGAGTATGTGTGGTCACGGGATTTGCGTTTTTAGGCGTGTACTAGTATGAACGGAAAACTTTTCAGAACTGCTAAATGAAACGCCAGTGTGTTTCCTGCAGTTTCACTGTGCCTCCTATCCGTTTCTTCTCCATCTCTGACCCTCGACTATTTTGACAAATACACACCGACGTTGCACGCTCACACAGAGCCCAAAATACTAGGAGTTTGTGATTGGGCCAGCCCAATGTCAATAAAGAAAAGAACCAATGGGCTGCAGTGTCGCATGGGCCTGCCCAGTCAGTCTGTCAGAAAAAAACCCATCTTACTTTCAGAGAGTCACAGATCACAGCATTGTCAAATAATAAGGCAGAAAAAACGATAGACTGCTAAGCCTTTTATGGGCCGATCAGATCTAAGACGATGATCAGCCCGGCCCAAAAAGTATGCCAGTCCGCTCCTGGTTAGGAAGGTAATAGAATGGTTTATTTTTATATCCCAGTGTTGACAGGCCTGGGCATGAAATAATAATTAAATAAGAAAATATTCAAGACAATAATAGATGTAATCAACATTATCATGCATTGTTCAAATCAAAACTTTAGATTCTAGTGTGCTGACTAAAGCATGAATGCTTGATCTACAATTTTGTATCACTTAATCAGGGAAGACCAACCACTGCCTGAGGATGTAGATGTGGTTGGCAACAATATCTTTATCCGAAGACCTGTAGATGTGCATCTTGCTGGAGAGTATTTGTGTCAGGCTTCATACCGAAAACATCGAGTTTCCCTGAGGTTCACAATTGAAGTAAATCCAAAAGTCATGTTGCCAGGTAATACATTTACTGTTCATCATCACACTGAATTGTACGCTCTACAACTAAAGATACTAACATTGACCTAATTTGATTTTCAGTGACATTTCCTCCAAATATCAGTGTGGATTTGGTAGAAAAATCTGATCACATTCGCATTGAGTGTTTGGCTTCCAATGCAATTCCTGCAGCAAGCGTGTCCTGGGTTCTTCCCCAAGAGATCAACAGTACTGTTCAGTCTGACGTCACATCCTTTAATGGATCCTTTTCTGTCAGAAGTGTGTTGAATGTGCCTACATGCTTGACCCGTGAATATGTCATTGAGTGTGTAGTCAACCATACTGTCTTCATGGAACAAGAGAGCCGGCAGATTGCTCTTCCTGTGTGTGGTAAGATGTTGTCATCACTATAGCCATTGTGAAGAATGCCTTGTTGTTCTCTGTGTTAGGTTGAAATGTTCAAGCGTGTTGCAGGATTACATGCAGCATGCATAAAGGATAAATAGTTAGAAAAGAAAGAAAGAAAGAAAGAAAGAAAGAAAGAAAGGAATGGATGGACAAGAAAACGCTTTGTGCCGTTACAATAATAAGAAGCTATGTGTGTGTGCAGGTGTGGTGTATAAATAGTCTGTGTAATGAATCCTTGATCAGCTGTGTGTGAAACCATTGGAGAATATATATATATATATATATATATATTAGGGATGTGCGGAGCAGCCGGTATTTGTATCTGTATTTGTATTTGTTGAGGGGTAAAAGTATTTGTATTTGTATTCGAGTGAAATTCAAAATGGCGTAAAAATATATATATTTTTCTATTACACTTCTAATTTATGTTATAGTGTAAGTATTGTTTAATTATACCCATTATAATACTCATGGATATGCAATATTGGTTGATGTTTTTGAACATGTAACAAGTAACGTCATTGAAAACATATAAGCCTTTACCTCATCCATGGTTAAACCAATAACTAAAATACCATTGTGAATATTATGAACCCCACCACCACCGTTCTTGTTGAAGGACGCTGAATAGACAGAATAAAAACAAATAATACTTCAACGAACTGTTCTTTTTTTAAAAGAACTTCTTTCTAATGCACAGAATACCAAAAACTAAAATTAACTAAATAAAACTAAATAAACCCCTGACTGGGAGGTCTGGCAGAACAAAAGTAAAAGTAAACTGACTTGCCAGAGCAGAATGTGGCTGTGTTGATGGTTTGGTGCTTGTGGAAAATTTAGCAGATCATGGCTGTGCTGATTGAGGGGATTGATGCTTGTGGGGGGTTGGCAGACAGTATCAGGAGAGGATGCTTTAAGTGCATGTGATAATACATTACATAGAGGGTTGCGTGGTGGCACAGTGAGTAACGCTGTCGCCTCACAGCAAGAAGGTTGCCGGTTCGAGCCTTGGCCGAGTTAGTTGGCATTTCTATGTGGAGTTTGCATGTTCTCCCCATGTTGGCGTGGGTTTCCTCCGGGTGCTTTAGTTTCCCCCAGTCCAAACACATGCAATATAGGTAAATTGTCCCTAATGTGTGTGAAAGAGAGTGTATGGATGTTTCCAAGTGCTGGGTAGCAGCTGGAAGGGCATCCACTGCGTAAAACACATTTTGGATAAATTGGCGGTTCATTCCACTGTGGCAACCCCAGATTAATAAAGGAACTAAGCCAAAAAGAAAATGAATGAATATGCATAAAAGATGTTGACAGACGTTTGATATCTCTGCCTCTGCTGATTTCACTTTTGCATACATTACATACAGTATCACTTTGTTTTATCTGCAGCACCACTGACTGTAAAATGAACTTGAACAAGTTTTTTTGTTTGTTTTATTTTGTTGTTTTTTTGACTGGTGGAGGACCAAGAAATGGCTCAGCAGACGTCTCACTCTTTTCTATTTCGGTGCCCAACTGTATTTGAGGAGTTTCAAGTTCATAAATGATGGGAAGCTATGCTAAGGTTAACTAGCCTATAGCAAATACATTGCTGTCTGCAAAAGACAGTAATTTAGACGTACCATAAAACTCCCATAAGTGCATACTATTCGACACAACTGCACAAGCATCGTTTTAACCTTTATAAACGAACATTAACGTTACTCTGTCAACAGTCTATTGTCTAAATTACCGCGCTAACAGAGCTAACGTTGCGTAAACAGAGCACCCGATTGCAGACGTCAATAATGCAGCATAATGGAATATCCCGATCAAACTCCAGTTCAACTCCGCTACAAGTTTATAAACTGCCTCTGGAGCCCAGGTAAGGTACAAAAATCTGTTTAACAAAAATAGAGATGCAGTAAAGTATTTTTTCACTTAGCCAAGCCTTCTCTGTTGCTGTTCGGAGAAGCATGTATATATAGTTTATTTTTTTTTAAATCAGGCACTACGAACTACCTATTAAAAACTTCAGTAAACCAAAAGGATCACCCAGGGTCCTAGGCAGACCCAATTGTCAGGGGGGACTCGATTTCTCATGACACCGAAACAGGTGTGTGTGTGAGTTGCATGATGGGAAATGTACTTCATAAAGTGACAGAATTGTATTCCGGGTGAAGCTGCAAGCCTGGATCACTCGTGATCATGATAGATGGATGGATGGCAGATATGAACAAAATGTCAATAAACAGAAAGAAAGAAAGAAAGAAAGAAACAAACAAACAAACCAAAAAGAAGGGCGGAAGGATGGCATGAACAAAGCAATGAATGGATGTATTGACAGATAGAAAAAACAATGGACAGAAGGGTGAACAGATAAGCACAATTTGATAGATGGACAGAATGAAGGTTTCCTGAATGACAGATAGATGGATAAAATAAAGCACAGCTAGCTATCTATCAGACATTCTCACATTATATTTGTTTGTTTTTTTCTTGTTTGCAGCTCCACCCAATATTACCCTGCAGTGCAGTACTGAATGGGACAGTGGTGTTGCATACGTTCAGTTGGTGTGTTCAGTGCAGAGCCAGACTCCAGTAGTGGCCATTAGCTGGGCTGCACAGTGCCTTGGCAATGACATCAGCTCCAGTCAGTTTGAAATGAGTCAAACCCAGTTTCAGCCAAGTCATATGATTGCTGCTCAGAGCGTGGCACGTATTCCTATTTACACTCATGGCGGATGCAGCGTGACCTGTTCGATCGAGCTTCAGGGGTTAGAGAAACCAGAGAACAAAAGCATTGTCCTCCCATCCTTAGGTAAGTTTTGTCATTACATTGTCCTCAAGATAATCATACTGAATATTTAAAGATAAAAGGACCCAAAAATGAAAATAAAAGTGAACATCATTCACTTATTAACCTTTATTGGAGTATCTTTCTGATGTTAAAGGCACAATATTTTCAAAAACATCCAAAAACCACTAAGAATCGTGTTGTATATTTTGCTGACTTTTTTATTACATTATTGCAAATGTTTTGAAGAATTAAGAGAAATTATCAATATTAACCAGTGACAAAGATTGTGATGGATGTAAGTCTTGTAGGATGTAATGAAGAAAACAACTCCTATGATTTTAATCAAGGCATCATCAAACGAAGGCTGCATGTCAGTCAGCACCCTAGCTCCATTCATCAGTAGGTCGTGTACACGAATTTGGCCACTGGTAAGGGTAGTATTAAGCTTGGTTCACTACACAGTGACCATGAGAATGTCCTTATTGTACTTTAATATACAATATACTACAATATAGCTAAATAATATGATAATATGGTTCATTTAACAGCAACATTTCAACCATTAAATCATTATTAATTTTTGCTAGTTTTTTCCTAACCTGTCTAGCCATGTTTGTTTAAGGTTAAAAATAAATTAATACATTTTTAGAAAAGCATCTCTCCTTTGTCAGTGCGTTTTATGAAATTAGTCACGTAATTCATATTTTACACTTCCTTTAAGGGAATGTAGTGCGTATCGATGTGCCTTGATTTTCACAGTGCATTGTGAGACATTTAGGGCCCTAAGTTTTTTGTCAATTCAACAATTTTGCAACTGAGACAGCACATAAAACCTGATCACTGCACTGACTACTGAACAATGGTGCTTATAGATGCATCCTATGCCTTTATTTGTTGTGAATATTTGCCCTCTAATGGCAAAAATTACATACTGTGCCTTCAAACAGTACATTTCAAAAACATTAATTTCATTAAATCATGCGTAAAGCTGTAAAAGCGTGAACAATAAGTTGCTGAGATTTTACGTGGATGTTGATGTATGTCCAATTAAAACTAAATATCAAGTTGGGGGCAGGGCTATCTTATTGCACATAATTACCAGTCACACTTTATTTTGATGGTTCGTTTGTTAAATTTAAGTTACATTGTATCTACATGCCAACTAATTGTCATTAGATTATAAGTAGACTGTTAGGGTTGGGTTTAGGGTTCGTGTAAATTCACATGTACTTGCAAAGTATCTTATAGTCGGTTAAATGTCTGTTAATGGAGCAGTATCAACAGATATTAGGCAGACAGTCTACTAATACTCAAATGAACCATCAAAATGAAGCATTACCTCATTACCTAGTAGCAAACTAATGGTAAGAGAGGCATGTTTAAGAATATTATGGCTATAGTCATCAATGCAAAATGATTTGCAACTCTAGCCATGGAAGCAAATTATCAGACTAAAGATTAACAAAACAAACCTTTTTTTTTCAAGGGATCAACTTGCACAGGTTATTTGTTCACCTTAAGAATATCACTATTCTCTAGCAAAATAAACATTGTAAATAATGATTTCACATCCAATACAATATTAGGAAACTTATTGTCATGGATGAACACTATTCCCTTGCATGCTGACTTTAAGAGTTAGGATAAAACACTGGCCTACACATTATTAAGAAAGGAGTATATCTTGTTTATTAGGGCCGTCTGCAATCCTTGCATTTGTGGCTGAAGAGAGATACACTCATATCTGGCATGCAGTGTGTGGGTACAGCGGTTATGGAGTCATACCCAACATCTCCTGGATCCTTCCTGAAAACGATGCTGCAGTTCAAGCAATCACTGAGTACAAGTACGATGGAATTAAAGTAGAAGTCAATTCGACTTACGAATTTCAGCTCAACCAGTTCGAGGGGAAGGATTTGATCTGTGTGGTCCAGAGAGAGCTCGACTGGGAAGAGAGACGGACAATACAAGTTCCAAAATTCTGTAAGGGTTTCTCTGTGTTTGCTGTGATTGTTTGTTCAGTAAAGGTATTTTGGTTGCTTAATGAAATCTGCCTTTTACTTTCACCCAGATATCTCATCTGTTGAGGTTTTAAACAAAACCACAGTTGATCGCAGAAGTCACGGCCAGCGTGAGCATCGAGTAGAGCTGCAAGAAAACCTCTCCAATCAGAAGATACTTCTTCAAGCCCATGGCAATGCAACATCTTACTGGACAATATGTTACAGGTATGGGCAATTCATAGTTATTCATTCATGTACTAAATGTCAATTAATGTATTAAATCATGTTAGTGCAAAAAAACACATTATGATACCCAGTAGAGAATGGAGTTTTGTTAAGAGTAATGTTTCAAAAAAGGGATTTACTAGATCTTAATGAGGATTCGTTACATACCCTTAGCACAATATGCTCTCTTAAATCTGTAGGAAGTCTTTATTTTAGGACAAAGACAAGTTACATACTGTAGATTTAAATTGCCCATGTTATAAGACTCAGTGAGCTGTATATTTGAAAAGGATATTTTTGAAAAACAAATCTCATCTCATCCCTAACTTTTATGATTTTACATTATAAAAAGGAGCTATTCAGTTTAATGTTTAAGCTACTCGTTTCCAAACAGTTTCTTAAATGAAAGAAATCTGAAATCCAATAGAATATATTAATATTAATAGACTGAGGGACAAAATGATGGATGGATGGATGGATGGATGGATGGATGGATGGATGGATGGATGGATGGATGGATGGAAAGACACTAGACAGACGAATAGATAGATAAACAATGGATGGAATGAAGGACAAAATGATTGTTGAATGAATGGATAGATAGATAGATAGATAGACAGACAGACAAAATGATGGATGGATGGATGGAAAGACACTAGACGGACAGATGAATAAATAGATGAACATAACAATTGATGGAATAAAGGACAAGATGATGATGGATGGATGGATGGATGGATGGATGGATGGATGGATGGATGGATGGATAGATTGATGGATGGAAAGACACTAGACAGATGAATAAATATATGAACAAAACAATGGATGGACTGAAGGACAAGATGATGGATGGAAATACATTAAACAGACCAATAGATAGATAAACAATGGATGGAATAAAGAGCAAAATGATGGTTGGATGAATGGATAGATAGATAGACAGACAGACAAAATGATGGATGGATGGATGGATGGAAAGACACTAGACGGACAGATGAATAAATAGATGAACAAAACAATGGATGGAATAAAGGACAAGATGATGGATGGATGGATGGATGGATGGATGGATGGATGGATGGATGGATAGATTGATGGATGGAAAGACACTAGACAGATGAATAAATATATGAACAAAACAATGGATGGACTGATAGACAAGATGATGGATGGAAATACATTAAACAGACCAATAGATAGATAAACAATGGATGGAATAAAGAGCAAAATGATGGTTGAATGGATAGATAGATAGATAGATAGATAGATAGATAGATAGATAGATAGATAGATAGATAGATAGATAGATGATAGATAGATAGATAGATAGATAGATAGATAGATAGATAGATAGATAGATAGATAGATAGATAGATAGATAGATAGATAGATAGATAGATAGATAGATAGATAGATAGATAGATAAATAGATAGATAAATAGATAGATAAATAGATAGATGGATGGATGGATGGATGGATGGAAAGACACTAGACAGACAGATGAATAGATGAACAAAACAAGGGATGGAATGAAAGACAAAATGATTGTTGGATGGAAAGACATTAAACAGACCAATAGATAGATAAACAAAACTCTTGGGGACCAAAATATCAGTGGTCTTTGAGACGTTCCTCTAAACACATCTTATTTCAGAGAGGACGGCTCAGCAGCACACACAGTCGGCATGGCATTGGTTTTTACAGCCCCAGCATCCGAACTGGACACAGGACTGTACATATGCCATGTCTCGTATCATCACCACATGGCCAAAGTCTTCCTTCGTGTGGATGTAACAAGTGAAGAGACTCAACACCGTAAGTTCAGCACTCATCAGTCATCAACATGGGAATAATACACATATAATGCACTAGAATGAATGAACTGTTCCCACAGTAATATTCATCACTATCTGCTTCACGACGGCTGCTGCCATCTCCATCATCTTGATCATCCTTTTGTTTGTCGTCTGGTGAGTACAAATGCTTTCTCACAAGCTTAGATAAGATTTTGTTGTTGTGTAACTTTTTGGGGGGAAATACTACCATACAGGTGAGATTAGTGGAGGCAAACAGGAAGTAAGGTAGCTTACCTAGACCAATGACATGCATAGTGTTCATAAACAGGATATACGGTGGCTTCTGCAGGCTGGCAGATTAAAAAAACCACACGAACCAAGAGTCGCTACACACGCGACACAAACAGATTGTCTCAGCAGTGGAGATTGATGACAATTTAAAATGGGAGAGTATCTGTGGCTTTTTCTTCTCATAACAACATTCTTGATCTTTTTTTGCTTTCCAGCAAATGTGGGAACAGTCACTCTTCACAACAGGTAATTGGACAGATTTGACTGCATTATTACAGGAGTTGGTAACACTTTACATTAAGGTTCCATTTGTAAACATGAGCTTTACATTGAAATAAAGATCTATATATTCATTTACAATTAGACATTTCTTAATATTAATGAAATATTACTGCATATATGCAATATTATCCAGACCTAAAAATTCTTTCACCATTTATTGCCTTCACAAATCTGTTTGAGTTTCTTCTGTGAACACAAAAGAAGATATTTTGAAGAATGCAGAAAGCCTGTAACTATTGACTTCCATAGTATTTGTTTTTCCTACCATGGATGTCAGTTGTGACATGTTTTGAACAGTTCAGAATATCTTATTTTCTGTTCAAACTCATAAAAGTAGCACGTGTGGTCGAGTAAATAGTAAGTGCATTTTATTTTGGGTGAACTATCCATTTATGAGGGAAAATAACTACAATCCTATGAAGAATTGCAAATGGCACAACTGAATTTAAAATGTCTGCAAAAAACTTCCTATAAAGTTTGTTGTATCAAAGAAGTTTATACAAAATACACAAATTTATACAAATAAGTATTTTGAGAGCACAAATAGACAAACCTGATTATGTCATTTGCAATGCTTTATGACATTGGGCAAAGCTACAGTTGTGTTATCTCTGGTTGGTGGAATGTTCTTTAGAGCATCCTGGGTAATGTAGTTTTTAAAAGTAAGTTGATTTAATGTGAACATGACTCGTTAAAAGCACAAGCTGTAGCTAGCTCAGCGCACAACAGGTCTTGTTGTATTGGTTTATCATTTATATTTAATAAAAATATAAAAATCCTCTGAAAAAAAGAAGAATGCTTTACTTTCGAAAAACGAAAGTTATTATTCACTTATTAATTTTCTTGTCGGCTTAGTCCCTTTATTAATTCGGGGTCGCCAAAACGGAAGTTATCACATCTTTTTTAGTAATTGTATAATGCCAAAACTGAAAATAAAAATTTATCTTCCCAAATAATGGACTTATTATGCTTATAATGGAGCTAACATTAACTAACAATCAACAGTTATATATATGGCTAAATATATGGCTTTTTTTATTTATAAACAGCATAATGTCAACTCAGACTTATTGTTAATATATGCCGAGGTCTAAAGTTTTCGAGAACCGACAAATATGTACCCTGAGCACATTTTCTTGCAGTCTCTTACAATTTTGACAATCTCAAGAACATGGGGCACATTTTCTCACATGCACAATTTCTCATAAATCTACCAAAGGCTGCTGCATACATTTTTAGCAAATCTTAACATCTTTCTTGTCCACATCTGTAAAAGAAGCCGGTTGGCTTGATGTTATGCATTATACACTCACCGGCCTCTTTATTAGGTACACCTTACTATTACCGGATTGGACTCCCTTTTGCCTTCAGAACTACCTTAATTATTCGTGGCATAGATTCATCAAGGTTCTGGAAATATTCCTCAGAGATATTGGATCAAATTAAGAGGATAGCATCATGCAGTGGGTGCAGATTTGTCGGCTGCACATCCGTGATGCAAATCTCCTGTTCCACCTCATCCCAAAGGTGCTCTATTGGATTGAGATCTGGTGACTGTGGAGGCCATTTGAGTACAGTGAACTCATTGTCATGTTCAAGGAACCATTCTGAGATGATTCACCTTTTATGACATGCCAAGTTATCCTGCTGGAAATAGCCATCAGAAGATGGGTACACTGGTCATAAAGGGATGGTCATGGTCAGCACCAATACTCAGGTAGGCTGTGGTGTTGACACAATGCTCAATTACTGATGGGCCCAAAGAGTGCCAAGAAAATATCCCCCATACTATTAAACCCACCACTACCAGCCTGAACTGTTGATACAAAGCAGGAAGGATCCATACTTTAATGTTGTTGACGCCAAATTCTGACCCTACCATCTGAATGTTGCAGCATAAATCTCAAGACTCACCAGACCAGGCAACATTTTTCCAATCTTCTATGGTCCAATTTTGGTGAGCCTGTGTGAATTGTAGCCTCAGTTTACTCTTAGCTGACAGGAGTGACACCTGCTGTTGCCCATCCCCTCAACGTTGGACGTGTTGTGCATTCAGAAATGCTCTTCTGCAGACCCTAATGCAGACCTCGATTGTAACAGATGGTTATTTGAGTTACTGTTGCCTTTCTATCAGCTCGAACTAGGCTGGCCAGTCTTCTCTGACCTCTGGCATCAACAAGGCATTTGCGCCCACAGAACTGCCCTCACTGAATATTTTCTCTTTTTCAGCCAATTCTCTGTGAAACCTAGAGATGGTTGTGTGGGAAAATCCCAGTAGATCAGCAGTTTTTGAAATACCCGGACCAGCCCATCTGGCACCGACAACCATGCCAAGTCACTAAAATCTTCTTTCTTCCCCATTCTGATGCTCAGTTTGAACTGCACCAGGTCGTCTAGACCATGTCTACATGCTGAAATGCATTGAGTGGTTGCAATGTGATTGGCTAATTAGACATTTGCATTGGGTAGTTAGACATAATAAAGTGGCCGAAGAGTATATCAGCTTGATATTGACTGACCAATCCAACCCCCTTCTCTTAACCCAACCAATATTGTTTTCAAAAGCAAACTAGAATAGTAAAGCCATTGCAGCTGTATGCTTCTACCATGACCTCATGCTGCTTTTTTTGGGGTTACATTTTACCTGGTTTCTGGAACTATCCTTCGCCGGACCGCTATTCATCAAAACTACCAAGAAAACCAGTCATGCTGAAAAAGCCGTCCATATGGAGGTAAGCAATCAGCAGTGTTACCCAGTAGGCTTCGTTTTACTCACAAAATGCAGCCATATGTACCCACGAGCACATATTTTTTGGTTCTCAAAAATGTAGTCCTAGGAACATTTTCCTAATCTGCATTCCATAACGCACATCTTGCAGAGTAAAGCCTGACAGGCTTATAAGTAGACCAAAATAAAGCGGAAGACTGCAGGTACAATACACAATCTAGATTATATACAATCTAGATGTACAATACACAAACTTATTACATGGCTACTTGTCACAAAAGTGAACAATTACACAAAACACTGGTAATAATTGGCTAACTCTTTAACTAAACATGTAGCTTAAAGAAAGATAAAATGCTGAATGCAGCCCACACTAATCTACACATTATTCGGTAAAGAACAGTGACATGATAGATGATCATATAAATGTGTATAAGAATATACTCATTATTGGTCAAAATCATTCATCGTACATGGATGAGCCTGTGTTATTAGTTTCAGCGGTTGTTATCTGACATACCTTTGAAAGTTGTGACTGACCAATCAGAATCAAGCATTATAGCTTATAAGCTGTGCAAAAATTATGGCTAAATATAATAGGACCGTATTTTAAAGTGTTACTCAAAAGTTTGTCCAATAAGATACTTATTACGCTTTTTTATTTCGAGTATTGTGATTCTATTTTTCTTTTTGCCTTTTTCAAAGAAAACCAGGATGGATCGTGAGTCTCTGTCCGCTCTGATGCAGGACCCTCGCTGCTCAGAGAGGGCGCTTCTTCAAGGCCAGGCCGGCCAATATGCTGAGCTCACCCACTATTCCATTGTTTTTGATGCCAAAAGCACCGTGTGATGCACCTGTTTGTTTTTCCAGGGTAACATTTAAGTTTTTAGAGTGTTTTGGAGTTCATGCCATCTTGAAGGCACACGATGTAAAAGAAAATATCATCAATTTTAGTTAAAGTGATCATGTGAATGAAGCATTTATTAGTGATGAAGAGAGGGAATTATTGGCAATGGTGATATTAGTGGTCACATGCTGTCTTTTATACATAGTGTGAAGAGCGCCTGATTGTTTAACAGCAGTTCAACAAACTGAATATTGAGCGAGCTACATTTTAGATACAATATTGTTTTTATTTTGTTTTGTAGACGAAAATAGATTCTGAGCTGAACATTTGTGCATTTGTCTGCTATACTGTCGTTTTACTTCTGAATTAATGTTGTTTTTGAATGAACTATATAAGTCAGTGATTCAGTGCTTCATTTCTAAAAGAATCAGATGCTTTGAATGAATCATTTTAAGGAATGATTTAACAAATGATTCTATAAACGGTTTGTTCAACCCAAAATGAAAATTCTGTTATTAATTACTCACCCTCATGTTGTTCCAATCCCCAAGACTTTCATTTACCTTCAAATCACAAATTAAGACATTTTGGATGACATTTTAGAGCTCTCTAACCTCCATAGACAGCAAGGGTCCGAGACACTCAAAGTGCAGAAAAGCAACCAAAACATCTTCAGCGGTTCAACAGAAATCATATGAAGCTCCACGAAAACTTTTGTGCACAAAAAATGACTACTACTTGATTAATACAGGTAAAATTAAGTACTTAAGTCAAATACTCGCATTGGCAAACGAAGTCATTTTTACAGGTTTTAGGTACACAAAATATACAGGACTTGTATATGGAGGGGAGAGCCAGAGACATCTTGAATTTCATCTAAAATATGTTCATTTGTGTTCTGTAGATGAGCTAAGGGGATTAAATGAAAAAGAAGAACTGCGTCTAAAACCACAGTCTCCAGTATGTAATCACTGAAAGCATATGTTGGGTATAATATGTAAGTGTGTAGTATGAATGTAATCAGGACGTGCTAAAGTCACCATGTAGTTATCCTGGTACTTTTAAATTCAGACGTACCGCTATATATGCAGTGGAGAAAATAAGTATTGAATACATCACCATTTTTCTCAGAAAACATATTTCTAAAAGTGCTATCGACTTGAAATTTTCCCCAGATGTTGGTAACAACTAAAGAAATCTATATATGCAAAAAAAAAGGTAATTAGTTTACAAATTATGTGTAATAAAATGAAATGACGCAGGGAAAAGTATTGAACACATGAAGAAAGAGAGCTGTAGAAAGGCAGTGAAAGCTCAGACTGCTGCTGAAATCTCTCAGTAGTTCTTCAGCAACCCTTTGCCCTTTGTTATTGTAAATGAATATTAGCTGCTTCAGTCCAACATCTATATTACCAGGATGATAAAGAAGAAACATTTCAGCAAGAGAATGATCCAAAACAGCCAAGGAAACTCTCAAATAAAGAAACTCAATCTGTAGAATGGCCCAGCCAATCACCTGACTTGAATCCAATATAAATGCTAAATAAAGATCAGATTTGACGAGATCCACAAAACCATCAAGATTAAGTGTATTCATGAGCAATTCATTTGACTTCATTCTCCATATGAGGCATCTTTAAGCTGAAATCATAAAAAAAGTTATTACATACATTTTAGTAGTTCAGTATTTTCTCCTTGTGTCATTTCATTGTTTTTTGTTTTTTATTGTTTTTGTTTGTATTGTTTGGGGTTTTACTAAAATCTGGTTCAATTCCATGTCAACAGCTCCTTTAGAAATATTGTTCTCAGGAAAAAACATGATGCTTATTTTCCCTGCTATGGTAGTTTTACTGTGAAGCTTATACATGACAGATTTAGTCCATCTCGAGTTTAAAAACACACTCATCAATATATTATTTCATTTTGGAAAAACAAACAAAACAAATGACTGTACTTTTCAATATTGAGCACTTTTTGTAAAATGTTTACATTGGTTTTATTTTGTTTGTTTTTGTCTGATACAATTTCTTCTAAATTTCAAAAATAACTAATGTTTTGATTTGAGTGGTGATTGAAAATCAGTGTTATTCCTCGAAATACCGATTTATTAACTGTTCGGAAATTAAAATCGGTATCTTGTGGTTTAAAACAAATATAAACAAACAACCATGACACATTTTGATTATTTTACACAAAAAAAACGCAAATTACACCATTTTTATTTTCAAATTTGGAAAAAATGTCTTCAGTACTTTCTGATATCCTTTTGTTCTGATTCCTCAATCATGAATACTGATGGTGGGGCAATATCTGTGAATTAAGTCGCTTTCAGCATTAAGATTTACTGTGATTATTACCATGTAGCATTGTTTGATAAATACTTTGCGCACACCTTATACGGGTTTATTATCTTTTTAGTATAAAGTTGTACTTTAATAATCTAGCTGGTGTCTTCTGTCTTGTTTTTCACCATTTCAGTTAGACTTGTATCGCCTCATTACCTGACTGAATGTGAATTGTAATGGCGCTCTCTGCTGATCACAATGTGCCACTGCATAAAGAAAAAAATGTATTGGCCTTTCTAAATCAACAACTGTGATTTCTGTCCAGCCTTCTACTCATATTTTTATTACCTTTGCAGTCTATCAGAATGACGGCTGTCCTGTATTTTTTTAAATGATGTTTTGTTGTAGAACATTTAGTTTCCTCAATGGGAATTTAATGTCACTGTGTTAAACATTTAAAAACAATAAAATACTTGCACATGTAATCATACATAGTACGTCTGTTTGTTTATCAGGCAGGCTATAAAACAACTTCTAACTGTTTTCACAAATGACAAAAGTTCCTCAATTATCACATTTAATTCTTTTTTTTTATAAAAAATCAGCCTCAGGTTTGTACATTGACTTAAAGCAGCAGCTTTAAGAAAATCTGCATTATTGCTTTCATACACAGTCCATAAACCATAAAGACAACATCATCGGTTTTAACACATTCATCGTTTTTTATACAGGCAAGGTTTCAGCTGAAGTCCAAATTTCTTTGCGTTCTCCGGTGCTTTTCTGGTCTTTATGAATTCGAAGGAGAAGAAGTGGCTGTTTTCAGTGTCCTAAATGAAAAATGAGCTCAAATAAATAGCTTGTAAACAGCACTTGTCCATTACTAAATTATTATCTGTTGCTATCTCCATTAGTGTACTGAAAAGCGAAGAAGTGTTGCTGTTGTTGTTAATATATTCCATTATTGATCCCCATAGTTGCAGAACAGCACACTTGTAGTCTGCAACACTGCACAATTTGGCCTGACTTTCCTTCCCTTAATACAGCATTAGACCTGCAACTAACAATCATTTATGATAATTGAGGAGGAGATTATGCTAACGATCGAATAGACAGCGGGATTTGCATGTTTGGCAGTTTTTAACAGGATGTTTCGCACAATCATCTAAAATAAACACTAGGCCTATATTGAAATTAACTGCTTTCAAAATGACTTTTTGCAGCTCTACTTCAATATTATTTCAGTATCGTTATGTATTACAGTATTTATTATGATTTTAATATGTGTACTATGGTGATAATATCTCGTATTCCTACTAGATTTGTTATTTGAATAATATATATCATTCCAACATTGATATATCACAATGTGGAAATCTACAATAGTCACATCGCTGGCTCTCAAGCGATTTCAAGTGAATTTAAACCATTTTGAATCAAGAAATGATAAATTTTGCCACTTTAATAAAAATCAATTGTGTTTATTTATACAATGAAAACTATGCTGTGTGATTTTACTTTAGATTATTGATTTTCTGTAATTTAATACTGTTGGACTCCGTTATAAAGTGCTGTTGATTTTATTTAGTAAATATTTCTAAAATAATGGTAACACTTTATTTTTATGGTCCATTTGAGTATAAACAGACTATCTGCGTAATATCTGTTGATCTGCTCCTTCAACAGACTTTTAAATGACTATAAGACACTGCAAATACATGTCAATTTACACTAACCCTAAACCCAACCCTAACAGTCTACTTATAATCTAATGACAATTAGTTGGTATGTAGATGCAATGTAACTTAAATTCAACAAACAGACCATCAAAATAAAGTGACCAAAATAATTTTGTACATTTTTATGTACATGCACTCCCCCTACAAAACCATCGCAATCATCATAAAATCATGAATTCTTTCCAAATGGACTTATCTTAAGAAATTATATTCATATGGCAATATATAGCGCAGAAAAAATAAATGCAATGTCAGTTTTTTCTAATATTGTGCAGCCCTATTCATTTGCATATTTTGGTGAAGATATCTTGAATTCTAAGATTGTATTATCAAATCATATCAAGAGTCAAAAACACTTTTATAAATATTACAGTATTTGTTAATATTTTATATGCATATTATGGTGATAATATCTCCTAATCCTTAAGACTTAATCATCAAAACATAACAAGAGTCAAATAAACACTAAGCTTTATTACATTACAGTATTTATTCTTATTTTTCATATGCATATTTTGGTGATGATAAAGTGCATCCAGAAAGTATTCATAGCACTTCACTTTTTTCACATTTTTTGTTACAGTCTTTTTCCAAAATTAATTTATTTATTTCCCAAAATTCTACACACAATACCCCATAATGACAATGTAAAAAAAGATTTTTTGAAATTGAAAAACCACCAGGAGTCTTCCTAGAGCTGGCCGGCAATCTAAGCTGAGTGATCGGGAGAGAAGGGACTTATTCAGGGAGGTGATCAATAACCCGATGGTCACTCTGTCTGAGCTCCAGCGTTCTTCTGTAGAGAGAGGAGAACCTTGCAGAAAGACAATCATCTGTGCAGCAATCCACCAATCAGTCCTGTATGGTAGAGTGGCCAGACAAAAGACACTCCCTGTCTGGAATTTGCCAAAAGGCATCTGAAGGACTCTCAGACTATAAGAAACAAAGTTCTCTGCTCTGATGAAACTAAAATTTAACTCTGGAGTAAATGCCAGGCGTTACGTAGGCAAAAACCAGGTACCGCTCAACACCAGGCTAATACAATCCAACCCGTGGGGATGTTTTTCAGCAGCAGGAACTTGAAGACTAGTCAGGATAGAGCGAAAGATGAATGCAGCAATGTACAGACACATGCAACAATTTAAAAAATATCTGTTCACATTGTCATTATAGGGTATTGTGTGTAGAATTTTCAGAATTTTAAATGTAATCCATTTTGGAATAAGGCTGTAACATAAAAAAAATGTGGAAAAAGTGAAGCGCTATGAATACTTTTCGGATGCACTGTATTTATACTTTTTTGATTATAAAGAGGTTTCATACTCACCAAGGCTAAAACTTATTTAACCAAAAATAGATTTCTGTAAATTACACATTAATATTGTGGCGAACAAAATCTTTAAAAAAAAAATTGATTTATCTGAAATATATCTGATTTTAAATAAAGTGTTTCTAAACATGTCCGTGTAAATATTTTTAATGTCTTTAGCGTCACTTTTTAGCAATTGAAGGTGAATTTAAGATTCAAATAAAGTATATTACCTTGTTGACGATCTTGAAGCCCATATTTGACAATGCACGAACAAATGAATGCACATTTTCAAATCTACTGGCCACTTCAGCTATTTTAAGAACCCCGCTGTATAAGACGAAAGAAAGAAAAGGGTTTTGTTATGGTTCACCACAGACTTATAATGGTTTCGGATTATAAAATGAGCCGGTTACCCCATCACCAGGACTCTGTTTGCTTCTGCCAAAAAGTCTCCCAGATTCGTCCCCATCAGAGAAAGACAGAAAACAGCAATATTCACAGTAGAATCACCAAGAGGAACCTGGGAAAATGAGCAGAGCTGCTTTTATGTCTTTTGGCTGCATTGAAAATCAAAGCTTTATTACTATGATAGCTTACTTTGGCCATGTCACAAGCAGTGGCAAGTTCACAAACCGGAGCCAGATCAAAAGAATGTACTTTGTTTTTGACACTCCGGGCAATTTTACAGTCTCCACAACCGAAGTCTGCCACAACTAAAGAAGCTGGTCTGAAAGACAGGAAAAGGAAATGTGCTGAAAATGTGAAATCATAAATACAAATGTAAAAAAACATCATACAGTTGAAGTCAGAATTATTAGCCCCCCTGAATTATTA